CTCTTGCCCAGTTCAAAGGTCCTCCGGCAGCTGTGCTTGCAACTGGTTTGCAACAGTTGAGTTGCACATCCTTCCTCCTCTTCCTCCTCCTTCTGCTATATCTGCTTCTGCTTCCTTCCCATCTTCCTGGTCCTGCTTCCTCTTCCTCCTGCTACCTCTTCTTTCTCCTCCTTCTCTTCTTCCCCACTTTCTTCCTCTCCCGGCATCCCAACTGGGCTCATGTTCCATTTGCGCACATCTCCAAGTTTGCAAGACAAGGACACAGCAGCCCAACTTGAAACTAGGGGTTTTCCCAAAGTTTTGTTGGAGGGGAATGTCTTTTTCTTGGAATGCAAATAGGGGCAGGCTACATCTCCAAGGGAATCCCTCTTTTGTTTGCACCTTTTCCAAGACCTCTGGGCTCTGTTGCACTTCATCTGAAGTTTTTTGCTTTTGTTTTGATGTTTGAGGATGCCTCATGTGTTTTGGCACCATCCTGCCTGATTTTCATGGTTTTATTTGATGTTTGTGTGTGCGCGCACACATGTGCACGCACACACACATTTAAAGGGCTTTTACTGCTTGCTCTAAGCTTTGCAAGTTGAGATGACTGCATGCTTCAGGTTTGTTTGCAAAGAGGTTTGTGCAATGCTGATTTGGTTTGGTCTTTCTTAGTTTTTAAAATGGTTTTCTCAGCACTTCCTCCTGTTATCTCTTCCTCCTCCTCCTCCTCTTTTCCCTCTCTTCCCTACATGTATAAATGTTGGGAAGGATTGCCACAGTAAAAATGAATATCTTACTGAAACTGCTTTTCCTGTTTCAAACAATACCCATAAAAATTGGAAAAAAGTTTTTTGAGGACTTGAATACATTTTATTTGGCAAGGAAAAAAAAGTGAGAATAAAACTGAAAATGTTACAAGAATCTAAAGTAAATGGAGGGTTTGGATTACCAGATTGGTTTTTATATTACTAAACATGTGTGATAACATGACTAAAAGAATGGAGCTTGGAGCTCCAGGTCGAGGACGGTAGTGGCAGTGAGCTCTATGTGGCGGGCAGGGTAGTGGTGGCGGGGAAGCTCCAAGTGGGAGGTGGGTTAGCGGGGTGAGCTCTCAGCACTTTTTTCCAACAGACCTGGGCGGTTTATAGCAGTTGAGTGGTAAGAAAAGCTCAGGGGATCCTCGCTTATCTTTTGCTCACCGCCTGAAGCTCACCGCCATCCTGGTCTGTTGGGGAAAAGTGCTGAGAGTTCACCTCTGTCTCTTCACTTGCCGCTTGGAGCACACTGCCGCCGCTTGGAGCTTACTGCTGCTGTTCCCACTACCACTTGGAGCTCCAGGCGGTGGGTAGCAGCGAGCTCCAGGTGGCGGGCAAAAGATGAGCCAAGATCCCCTGAGCTTTTCCCACCATTTGACTGCTATAAACTGCAAGGGGCCGGTTGGGGCCTCCACAGGCAGTGATGGCAACAGGAACAACACCCGCAACGCCTCAGTCATCCTTACTGCCCTGCTGCGGAGCTCGCCAGGTAGTCCACGACTGCCCACCATGCAGCCACCTCCCCCACTGGAAGCATGCATGCCAATGTCCACCCACCGTGTATGGAGGCCTCTCGTCCACCGGTGGCCGCCCTGCCATGGAAGCCCCAAGGCAGCGATGCTGATGCTGTGGCTGCTGTGGTAGGCACTTGGTAGTGCGGCCTATGTGGATGCAATGCCTGGATGCAGGGGCTGCCACCATGGTGCAGGAATGGGCGCTCAAGGTCTACAGTCGATGCCACGGGCAAGGGGGCAGAAGGGGCACAGGGACACAGGAGTTTGCAAGGATGTGACTGCCTTGGGAGGGTTGGGGGGGTGAGGGACCTGTGTGGGTGGACCTGTTATTTTCAGGACATGCCATATTTTGGGGAAAACATAGTAATCCTGATATTGATATACATGATTGTTTTTAAGTAGTATACAATATTTCAATGTTCCATTTTAATGCCAATGATATTATTAAGCATACGTAGTAATACCATCTTCCAACCTCTAATCTTTCTATCTAATTATTACATATTCTATTACATAAAAATTATACAGTATCTGCTAATATTCCCCCTATTTCTTATTTCTACCTCTATTCTAACTTCTAGTCAGGACATCATTACTAATCCAAGTGTTAATATAGTTGTCTATATTAAGACATAGTCCTTCATTATTTGGTTGTTCAAAGTCATACCTACTAATGCCATCTTTCACCCTCCAATCTTTTCATCTAACTATTGTTTTATATAAAGGTGTGTATACTTTTTTCTACCTCTATTCTAGTTTTAAATCAGGCCATCATTATATTAGAAAAAAGAAAAAAAAATTCACTTCTATCCTCATCTCTTGCCTGTTTTAATACTTTAATTCTTATGTTTTTATGTTGCTTCCCATACTCCTGTCTTGGATCTTTTTCTCTATCAGCATCTGTATCTTCACCATTCAGTCTGAATATTTCTCCCATCTCTAGCCTCCTAAGCTGCCAGGTCTCCAGAGTGTCCACCCAAACCCCTATCTCCCTTTCACAAGTATCTTACAGGTTATCCGACTCCATTTTTAAATTTCTTAAAGTACTTTTCCCTTGGTTTATTTCATCAGTCATTATTATCTTTATTGTTTTCTCCTTTTCATCTTCTTGCTTTGTTTGCTGGTTTGTCTGTTCTATTTTCCTCCATTGTTTCTGCTGTCTCCTCTCTTTCCTGGGCTCTTTGATCTTCATTCATTATCAGTTGTAGCATATTTTCTATTTTCTCATTTATGTCTTGCACTAGGTTCTTGTATCACTCTGTGATTCTTTGTCATAATACCCCTAATGCTTTGAAACATCAACACCATTTCTCTTGAAATCTCACTCATTTCCCCCTGATGGAGCATCTTGTCTTATTTTAATAAGTCCCGCTCTTACTCAATTCCAAAAACAATAGTCCAATGTTGCTCCTCAGAAAGTCCAATAATCACATCTCAGGACTATTAATCAGTTCCATTTAAGGAGTCCAGGCAGTTTCCACAAATCAAGAGTCACTTTACTTAAGAGTCTTCCTTATTCTCACAATAGAGACTCCAGTAATCATAAAGTAGATAGTTATAAAACAGTAAGTATCACCACAGTCCACCAGGTGAATGTTGTTTATTTCTCTTATCAATAATTTTCTTAGTCTTATAGGGATATGGTATATTTTCCATTCACCAATAGATAGCAGCCTCAGCTTAGGTTTCAGTATTTTTTCAAGTGTGATAAATTGATTAATCCAAATTTAGTTCAATTTATGGAAGCAAAGTTGGCTAGTCAAGTAGATTCAAGTAGATAGTTCCACATTTTGTAATGCCTTTCCAAAACAATGCCTATCCAGTTTAAACATCCAATTTTCTTTGTTTTAAAGGTCTTTAGCTTTTTTCCCCTTAGTTCCTTTCTTCCGAGTCTAGGATTTTTCTCTCTATGTTTGTTCGCCACTTTAAGAAATAGTTCTAAGAATCTCTTTTCCTGGATTTTCCTCTTTTTTTTCTTTTAAGTTTATGATCTAAATAAAAAAGGAACCTTCTCACCCAGCTTCAGTCACTGTTCATCTACACTGCTCCTACAAATTTCTTTGTTGCCTCGGCTATCCCAACTTCATGACAGCCATGATAGCTGCCTCTTCTCCGCTTTTCTTCACCACCCCTACAGGGTGGCTTTAGCTCCTTTCAGAGCCCTCCAATTGGGAGAACTCAGTGTAGAAGCACAGAGACCCACTCTTCATGTCCTATCTCACTGTGACATCAGCCAGAAGTCCCAAGAGCAAAGGTTTTTTTTTAAAAAAAACTATAAAAGTGTGCCTCTTTTGAAATACCAAATTTCTCCTTGCAGTGGATGATGAGCATTGTAACAAAAAAAGGAAGAAAAGACAATAACACATTATGGAGATATACTATAGATTGTCATCCAAAGCAATTTAAGCTTTACATGTTTTAGCACTATCGCTCCCTCACATCCACCCCCTAATGACTGTTGAAAAATCCTACACAACTGTAGTCTTTCAGGAATGCAGCTATTTTTGGGGAATACCAAGAATGCCAGAGTCCATACATTTGCTTGTTTCTGTTGATCCTCAAAAGAGCAATAAGGATAAACAGAGTCAGTAGGAAAGGCACATTTTGCCGAATCTCCTTCCCAGCATCAGTGCTCACTGATATACACAAGGGCACAAGTAAAGCCACTGCTACAAGTTGAAACTGGGGACAATTCTTGTCATCTCTCTGAGAACTGCAGGGAAAGTAGGTTGGAGAACCCTCCAAGAACAGCCACGATGCAACAGGATCACACATGGAACCAAAACTGCTATATTTGCTAGGGATATATTTGCAAGGTCTAGCCAAAACAATCAGAATGGCAGGCACAATCAAGATGACAGTCACAGCAAAAAGATGGTGAGAACCCTGGAAGCTAAATTCCACACAAACCAGTTGAAGGAACTTGGTATGATTAGCCTTAAGAAGAGAAAGCTGAGGGGCTGCCATCCAAAATTTGAAGGGTCAGCACAGAAAAACATATTGATTTATTCTCCAGAATAAATTTAATAAATAATTTTAAAACTACCAACTCTTTGATAGGCCTACTATGGCTGCCATGTTGATTTTTTTTTTTTGCCACATCTTGAAATTATTCCTGATACTTATTTCCATATTTTCCTTGCCATAGCTCTTAATTTATGCCCTGCTCTGCATAATAGGATCTCTCTTTTTTCGTCTTAGGGATTTGGAACTTTGATAGCTGTTTTTACTGAGTTTTCACTTATCTCTACTTTTCCTTTTTCTTTTATAAATAATTTTTGGTAGGTTTATCCAGTACCTTTTCCAATCTCTCTCCCCCCCCCCACTTTATTCTAATTTGTTTCTTTGGGATGAAGATTGTGTTTACATCACACTTTTGATATAAGAGCAAAAAAATACTGCTATGCCAAACATTTTCTTTGACAAATAATATGATAATTCTTTTTTTTTCTTATTATTATTTTTGTAGAGTTGAAACTATGCCCATGAAAAAGTAAGAAAGCTTTATTAATCATATGGCATGTAAAGTGGAAGTGATTGTGATTTTGTTTTTTTATGGACTTTTGGCATTTTCAAACATAACATATTTGGATTGTTGATTCCCCCCCCCCCCCACTCTTTATTTTTGTTTTTTTTTTTTTTTGGATTTTTGGCTTTTTAAAAAAAAAAATTTTTGGTTTTTTGTTTCCCCCCCCCCCCCACTCTATATCACTGCCTTTTTGATCTTCATACATAGCTATAAAATTGTAGCTTCGAAATATCTCGACATTGAACATTCTGTAAAATTCCCTTCATAGGGAATTTCATAGAGTTCACAGGTTCATCATTTCAAATAATGCCCTTTTAAAATTACCTTCTTGTAACTGCAATTTGAATTAAATTGCATTTTATCATTAACCCACACCTTTCCTCGTGTATTTATTTTATTATAGTTTGGAAAATGGTAATATTGGTTATCATAAAGAGCAATTATATGGTATACACAATCCAGTTATGACAAGGTAAACCAAGTTTAAAACGGTCCATCTTTTAAGTTTTATTAGTATTTCTTGTATTATTCATATACATTTCTGCGCATTTTAAAGTCAATATCTTTTCTTTTTGCATGATTTTTTCCTTGACTTTGTTTTTTCACATTATATCCTATAAAATATAATTTTAATAGTGAAATTGGTTTCATTACTTAACAACTGCTCTTATTTTAAACAATTATTTTCAAAACATTTGTTTGAAGTTGAAAAGCATTGCAAATATTTCTTTACAAAAAAACAAGCCATAGTCATTTGAATTATATATAAATTAAATAGCAGTGTACATATACCATTATTTTATTTTAAAAACCTATATAATTTAAAAATAAAGCTATACATGTATACACACACACACACAAACACAAACATATAAATAACAAAGAGCAAAACTGTAGGAAATATTAAGATAAATATTAAAAACAAAACAAGGAAATAAAAATACATTAGTTCCTAAATTATATTTACCATATAAAAGCCCATGTATAAATAAGTAGACACTAGACTATAAAAGTTATATTTCTTCTCTTATTTCCATATTATGATGCAATTTTTAAACAAGGAATTAAACTAGACAGGATCATATTATCCTGGCACATAACCCAGTTGATTCCAAGGCTGAGAGTTGACAAATTTCATGGTAGCCAACAATTAGTCTAGGATACCATTATTCTTTGATGAGCATCTGATCAGGCTTCTTGCCACAGTCCAATGGCAATATATCATAAATGCTTAATAGAGTGGAAGATTCCAAACTTTTGGAATATATTTTAAGAAAACATTAACTTTTTTTAACCTTAAGTCCCTTCTAGTTTCCCCTAGCAACAATGACTAACCAATTGCAATATCTCTAACATGTGCCCCAAAATTCCTCCAGCATTGATGTGCTGAGAACCAGCTTTTGGAAGTAAAGCAAAGTTCCACAAGTATATTTCCTAAGGGGAAAGATTAAAAAACAGAAGAAGCCAATTTTGGACAATTTTGCAGTTAGATGCTAATTTGTAAAATTGAGGAAGCCTGTCCAGAATTCTTCAAACTCCAAATCTACTTCCCTCAAAAATCATCAGTATTTCTAATTTTAAAAATTAATAGACATTGAAAACCCATAAGTGTAAACTTGTCCTCCGTACGGATATTGACATGGAAATGTGTTGAAAACATGTTAGAAAATCACTTAGCATTCTTTCAAGCATCCATTTCCTTTCATCGTTCTATAGTCAAAAATCATATCATGGACATCTGTGCTGAAGAATCTTTGGGGCACATTGGGGAGATATTGCAAAGATCAGCTCTTGAACTCCTTTCCCCTAATTTTTCATACCAGAGCTTTATAATCTTCACTCTCTTTCCCTAGTCATTCCTTATCTTCTTTTCCAATCTGCATGTTCTCAATTCTTAGTGGATTGCCATGTTTCCCTGAAAATAAGACATCCCTGAAATAAATGTTGGCCTTATTTTCGGGGAGGTCTTATTATTTTTGAGATGCAGGAGGCAGCAAATGTGGACAACTCATGGCTGCTGCTGTGTTGTAATATTTTTGGGGAGGGCTTATTTTCAGGGGGGTGGCTTATTTTTAGCACATGTGCTCAAAAGCCCAGTTGGGCTTATTATCCGGGGAGGTCTTATTTTCAGGGAAACAGAGTATAAAAAGCTTTATATTTTTGTTCAAAAAAAAAGTTGACCTCAATGCCCTGCTGCCTTCTGTGATCACAAAAGCATGACCTCATTGTGGCTGCATTTCCAACCTAGGAAAAAGAATAAAACTGGGTAATAAAAGCACCTTTTTACTCTTCAGTTTCTCTATTGTTCCTGACTTACCATATTTATGTAGTTATCACCACACAGATTTATATTTTTGTGGATTTCCCCTCTCTTAGCTCTGTGGAACAGTGGTAACTCAGACTGGAACTATTAACCGTAAGTTACATAGCTTATTTATCTGTTTACATTTTGATGGCCTTAAAAAGTGGACATCTGGGTTCATGTAAATGTTAACATAGATGAAAATGTTGAGGGGGTAGACTTTCCAAATGGTTTTCAACTTTTGAAAGTGGTGGCCCTTTTCACTTGTGAGTGCATTTTCATTTCATGTGAGTGTATGTGCATGATGGAGCTCATGCACCAGATGTCCTCCATCTGGTGCATGACCTCCAGATGGAGGAAGAAGATAGTGTCTTTGAATTTACCTTCCTGTTGGAGGGGCATTGGGAGGATGACAATGACAATGAGGATGATCTTCTCCACAGCCCTAGACTATCCAGCCCATCTTTAGACCTGCTTTTTTTGCATTGGCTTTGTCTGCTATGTCAACTTTGGCCCTAGACCAGTGTTTCTCAACCTTGGCAACTTGAAGATGTCCGGACTTCAACTCCCAGACTTCAACTCCCAGAATTCTGGGGGTTGAAGTCCGGACATCTTCAAGTTGCCATGGTTGAGAAACACTGCCCTAGACAGTTCAGTTTTGAGAGAGAGAGGGAGGGAGGGAGGGAGCGAGAGAGAGAGAGGGAGGGAGAGGGAGAGAGAGAGAGAGAGAGAGAGAGAGAGATCCTGCTGATGAACGGACAGACAGCTGGAGAAGCCTAGGCCTCTTGGTATATTTTTTTCAATCTTCTGTTATATTAGAAAGATTAAAATTCCCCCTCAGAGGCACCAGTTGTCATGGAGATCTCTGCCATTTTCCCTATTCCTAACTAAACATGGCTCTACCCCAGTCCAGTTATGCTCATGTTTCCACCATCACTGAAAAGTGATTTCACCTCTGTTCTCTTGTAATGGGACAATCCTGAAAACTCTGAATGTTGTCTTCTGACTTTCTTTTCAGCTTCTGGAAACAACAGTTTCTCCTCAAGGAAAGCACAGCAGAACCATTGTGTTTGAAGACAGCACAGCAAACTAATCTTGCATTTAAAAAAAGAATGACTGAATCTTTGCTCATAAAGTGAAGGCAGGTTAATGGCAATTGGGCCACCTCGTCTCATTTTTTGCTGCCAAGAAACCATTAAATCCTATCTGTTTCATAAAATTATTTTCATTTATTTTCTTGTACCATATAAATGAAATGATACAAGTCTAAGTGGATATGGTCCTCATTTTATTTTATTTTTGCTTCACCTGAATAGTTTGTTCAAAATGAATTAGATTCTTCTTAAACTATCCAATGATGTTTGTACGCTATATAAAAATATGTTTACATGAAAAATGCATTTGAATACGGAGGCTTTTGTACCTGAGTTTTTTACAGCTGTTTCCGAACAGACTTTTAAGCAATATTTGTTATCTTTCATAAGTAACCTGCTCAGTGATCAGAATTTCTCTGGTGCTGTTAAAAATGAAGGGGGGAAAAAGCAACTATGGAACTATGCATACTGTCTTGTGTTGTTTTCATAAATATGAATGTAAATGAAGGATAATATTACTTTTTCTGAATTCTTATCTAAGGCAGTATTCTTATTTTAACTGAAACATATGTCTATGTGAGGAAAGCAAAGTATGCCTGACTTGTCTGTCTCTGAACATACAGATAGACAAATAAGCAGTGGGGATCTTTTGTAACATGAGAAGTGATATTCCCAAAAAAATCTATCTGAAGCTTCAGTAGAGTGATTAGATCCACCGGAAGACAACCACTGATTCATTTCAGTGAAATATCTAAATATTGTAAATCTCCACTATGTTCAAAATGTGAATGTCTGATTCTCTCAATCACAGAAGCTGTGTTAAGCTGAAATTTGTGATACCGTGTTTCCCTGAAAATAAGCCCTACCCCAAAAATAAGTCCTACCATGTTTTTGCGCATGTGCCCAATATAAACCCTACCCCCCCAAATAAGCCCTACTTCAGCGCCTGTTCAACCAACCGGCTGCCCATTCCATCTGGTTGCTTGACTGCGAGGCAAGGCAGGGGGTAGCTCCCCCACATGCCTTGCACCAGCTTCCCTCAGGGCCCCTGCAGCCAGGCCATCTATGCCCCGATACCTGCTGTGCCTCATGGTGGGGGCTCTGCCAGCCCCGTCCAGCAGGGCCTTGTGTGGCTGGCGGCCCACTTCTTCTACTTGCTTGTGCGGCCACAACAGAGCAGGGTGCTGAGTGATGTGTTGGTGCTGTGGCTATGAGGCAAGGCAGGTGTCAGGGTGTGGATGGCCTGGTAAGCCAGAGGACACAGGGAAGCTCCAACCCCCACCTTGCCTTGTGGCCATGACATCACCACATCATTCAGCTTCCTGCTCCATTGTAGCCATGCAAGCAAGCAGAAGAAGTATGCCGGCAACCACACAAGGTCCTGGATGGTGCTGCTGGAGCTGCCACCACAAGGCGAGGCTAGGGTTGAGGTGTGGATAGCCTGGCTGTAGAGGTCCTAAGGTAAGCTGGTGCAAGGTGTGTGGGCAGCTCCATCTCCTGCCTCACAGAAGCTCAGCTTCCTGTCCCACCACGAGCAAGCAGAAGAAGTGGACTTTCCATGTATTCTTAAAGTACATGGGGGGGGGGGGTAAGACATCCCTTGAAAATAAGTCCTTATTTTGGAGCCAAAAAGTGCTTATTTTGGAGCCGAAAAGAAACTAAGTTTGGGTCTTATTTTTGGGAAAACACAGTATTTAAAGGAAAAGCTTCAGAAAATCTAAGAGCTGCTTTGTAGTGGCCCACATTGCCAAAGGTGTGACTCTTATTTTCTGGTGTGTAAAGTAATGAACTGATACAACATTGTTTTTGAACAATGGAATGGAGTATGAATGATTTGTACAATTATGAAGAGGGGACAGTACTATTAAATGACAATTGCAGAAAGAACATGAAGAAATATTGTGATATATGCTAATAATACTGAGAATGTGTTCCTATATGTACAATCATTCATTTTGGAGGGCCACCAGATTTTCCAAGCTGGATTTGAATTTTAAGAAGAATAATTCTAAGTTACTTAAAGATTGGACAGTTAATATGCACCCATCATTTAATTATATAATCTGTGCAATCAGAGTAAATCATGTGATTAAATACCACGGTTTAAAAATGGATTGTATTCCATTGACTGTAGAATGTTTTTCAATAGTAGGACAATTTTTAATATAATTTTTATCCAGTATGTAGAATATTTAAGAGGGTTGGGTGTATCTGTTAGGGGTGTGTGAGTGTGAGTGAGTGAGTGGGTGTGTGTGCGTGTCTGTGTGTGTGTTCAATATTGTAGATTTAACACATTCTTTTTAATCTGACAATGTCTTTCAATCATTTAAATAAAGTCTTGATATTTATTTCAAATGGAAAAAGTTGGTAAACAAGATTAAAACTTGGTTGTGTATCAGAGATACTGTAAATGGATTCTGTTTAAGCAACTTGTTCCACTTGTGCTGGTGGGCATTGGCATCCATAATAAACTATGATGGCATGTGTGAAATTATTGATCCTGCTCAATTATGACATGCATCAGAAGAAGTCAGCATGTGTGAAGGAATGGGGTGCCTCCCTAGCTTCATTATTGCTTTCTCTTCCCACTTCAGAAAGTCTGTTGAAAGAAGGGAGCAGCATCCAGGGAGCCCGAGATGAAGAAATGACCAATTACTAAGAATAATCTAAAGTACTTAGAGGCAGATTCTGGCCCAAGATTCTGATATAGAATATAGGTTAGGTTATAGGTTTGTTTCACTTTCATGCCGCCCTATTCCCGGAGGGACTCCGGGCGGCTAACAAACCACGGGGAGGAGATAATACAACAAAAAACAAGGACAAGCTACAAAGACAATTTAAAAGCAATCAACAGCCACACAATTCGAGCGGGGATGGGAACTCATCAGCTCCAGGCCTGTTGGAACAGCCAGGTTTTAACGGCTTAGCGGAAAGCCTGAAGGGTGGTGAGGGTCCGGATCTCCACGGGGAGCTCGTTCCAGAGGGCCAGAGCAGCCACAGAGAAGGCCCTCCTCCGGGTGGGCGCTAATCGGCAATGGCCGGCGGATTGAATTCGGAGGAGGCCTAATCTGTGGTATCTAATAGGTCTTTGGGAGGTAATTGGCAGCAGGCGGTCTCTCACTATGTCTAAGGACAAATAACAGCATAGCTGCCCTTACTACTGAGCCAGTGGTGGGATTCAAATAATTTAACAATCGGTTCTCTGTATATGTTACAAATGCATGTTC